TTAAAATCATTACAAACAAATATACATAAGGTTAAATATATATATATATATAAACTTTTCATTATATTAAATTACATTAAATCTGTAGTTTTTTGCATATTAAATCTAGTTTTATAGTACTTAGTACAAATGATAGTCAAGGCTTTTATTAAAGAATTTGCTTTATTAAATCAACATTTTAAATGTAGCTCATTTTTGGTGTCAATTAATTTTACATTCTTTAATAAAAACAAATTTTAAATTTACCTTGAAAATTATCTAAAAATGAAATGTTTACATTTCAAAAATGCATTTTAAATGTACTTAATTTTAAAATTATCTAAAAATCTAAAGTTTACATTTAGTTCAAACATAAGCTATATTTAGTGTCAATTCATTTTACATTTAATAAAAAACACGTTTTAAATTTACCTTGAAAATTATGTAAAAATGAAATGTTTACATTTAGTAAAAAATAATTAATTATATGTGTGTCAATTAATTTTTCAGTTTTAATTAAAAATTTTTTTTTAAATGCACCTAATTTTAAAATGGTCTAAAAATGAAAAGTTTATATTAAGTATATATATATAAAAAAAAAACTATATTTGGTATAGTTTTTTTTTAATAAATAAATCAGAATAGGCATATAATTTGCAGGGTCAATGAAACTAGTCAAAAAATGGTGAATGAAAAAAAGCATTGTTGAGCAAAACATTATTTATGGTGTACAAACAGAAATGTTTTCAAAACCATTTCTGAGACTTTATGCTTGCAGGAAACTAAAGCGTTCAAAACAAATGACTCGGAAAGTTATTTATTTCTCAACATGAGCAAATACAAAAAGGAACATGTAAAACAGGGAAGTAAGCATTACTGTACCGCGCAACTGTGTTAATCCTTTAAAAAAGGCCTAAACAGGAGATAACCGAGTCAAAATAAGTGGGCTGAACCACAAATACAACAAAACAAAATCAGTGTGTTTACAGCAGACATTACATTAATAATTAGCAAATAACTCCCTACAATGCTGTAAAATGACTCGGACATCGATGTGCAGGCAGTGATGGTGCGTTTTAGTCCGTTTCTTAGACCTTGTACCGTTTAGATGAACTTTAAAAACATACACTTATAAATGTTCCAGCTGCTAAACAAGAAACATAAAGATCACTGCGGTAGATGTTTAAGTAGTAAATAAAGTGAAAATCAAGCAATAAAAAAATGATAGAAAACAATCCCCAAACCATAAGAATATAAGTATAAAAGAAGAGAAATGTGTGCACCATGTCTCTAAATGGAGTTTTAAGGCATTTCTGTGAATCAAAATACAAAACCAACAGCTGAACCAGTGCGTCCACAATAAACACATAACTTTACCGTCATTTTACTAGATTCACACTCTCCAAATAAGAAAGGTGAACAATATTTGCGGCGCCACTTTATTAACTGATTTCCCTTTCAAAAAGATGATCAGATATCGCATCATTGACAAAACGCAAACAGGATGTCAAGAGATTGTCCAATTGTAGTCTTAGTATTTTCATGATCCAATCTGGCAAAATGTAGTTTAATGTGCTTTCTATTGTACATCAGGTTGTTTTTCTATATAGTCCACTAGAGGGAAGTGCTGCCCAACGCAGCTCAAATCAACGCCATACAGATTCAAATGCATTTAAAAGAAACATGATTTGAGAGCATCTGTTTATTTGTTAGTGATACTTACTTATTTTAATTTGTATGTGCTAATGCGCGACCGCTTTTTCAAACACCAGTCCAACAAACTCTGATATGAATTCATGTCTGTGTGACTATATGATGATTATGAACAGGTACATTTTCTAAAATTGTAAACTTGACCAGGTGCATCCTACCAGTGCATCGTCCTCTTATTTTATCCCATGCATCCACAGTCAAAGTATAATATATATGCTTTATAAAGTATTGTCGAGGTGATCAGGTAAACATATGCCAGTCTGATGCATGACTGGTACAAGCCAAGCAGCTTAAAAAGAGTGTTTGGCACAGAAAAACATCTAGTCTCCAGCTGACCACAAACCCTGATCAATCTACAGGTGAACATATGCTGAACATTGTCAATGAAACCATGATTGACTACCGGTGATATAAATTATTAACAGGATCTAACCTGACTGATTAAATGACATGATAACGGACCGTTCGTTTCAGTGTTGAGGTTATTCGTATGGGCGGAGCTGCGATAGTGATGTGGTTATATGAATTAGACGACATTAACATTACGTTCCATTAATCTGATAAACATGAGGGATTGGACAAGCAAATAGTGTTTAGAAATGGGCAGGATAATGTAACCTCCAGTCAGATGGCACTTCCTGTTCCCACAATACACAAATAGACACACAAACACACTTAGTCGTCTCCTGGTTTTATCTTCATCTGAGCTTGCATCTGAGCAATCATCTGCTGCATGCGTCTCAGCTGCAAGAGAGGAAAAACAGTTAGAGAGACTGTTTCTGCATGTTTGTATATATATATATATACCAGTAAAATGTTTGGAATAATTAAGATTTTCCAATGTTTTTAATAGAAGTCTCACAAGGTTGTATTTCTCTGATCAAAAATACAGTAAAACATTAATGTTGTGAAACATTACAATCTAGAATAACTGTTTTCTATTTAAATATATATTGTAAAATGTTATTTATTCCTGTGATGCGCAGCTGAATTTTCAGCATCATTACTCCAGTCTTCAGTGTCACATGATCCTTCAGAAATCATTCTAATATGCTGATTTGCTGCTCAAGAAGCACTTATTATTATTATCAGTGTTAAAAACAGTTGTGCCGCTTTATGTTTTTTGTGGAAACTGTGACACACTACTATTCAAAAGTGGGGTAAGTATGATTAAAAAAAGAAAAAGACAAAAGTACTTTTATTCAGCAATTCTGCATTAAACTGATCAAAAGTGACAGTAAATACATTTTTCTATTTCAAATAAATGCTGTTTTTTTACTTTCCATTCACCGCAGATTGGTTTCCCACATAAATATTAAACAGCAACATTGAGAACCATTATTAGTAATTGAGCACTGATAATAATTGATAACTGAGGAGCAAATCAGCATATTAGAATGATTTCTGAAGGATCATGTGACACTGAAGACTGGAGTAATGATGCTGAAAATTCAGCTTTGATCACAGAAATAAATTACATTTTACAATATATTAGAAAACAGCTATTTGAAATTGTAATAATGTCACAACATTACTGTTCTTACTGTATTTATTTATATATCACTGTAATATAACATGTCATCTGGTTCAATGCATTATACATTTATCCAGCTAAATGTGTGTTTGTGTATTTTCACACTTTAAAGCACAAACTCTAACATTGTGACTTTGGAACACCTCATGAAGACCCAAGATGGACACGTACACATAAACACAGTAGTGAAACATAAACACAATTACCCAGCAGTCTCTAATCAAGGTCTAATCACAACAATCATGATAATTAGAGAACATACTGTATACAACTGCTCCTCTAAATACATCACTGAAGATGATGCTTAAAACTCACTCATGTTTGTTGTTTTTATAGAGAGCTAATGCTATTTTCTATCCTTTAAACATACCCTTAAACTCTCCCTTTTTGCACTTTTAAATATTAAGACGTTGGTTAGTAGGTTTATTAATCTGTTTCCCTCTTGCTCCCCATAATGTAGCTGATTTCAGGTTTTACTATCTTTGTGGGGACATTTGGTAGATTAAACCTGTAAAAACAAAAACACTCTTTACATTGCAAGTGTTTCTGTATGTTCTGCACACACACACACACACACACAGAGAGAGAGAGAGAGAGAGAGAAACACACAGGTATCTTCAGCAGAGGGCACTAGAGAACAAATGGAGAAATCAGGCCAACAAATCACAGAAAAACTGCCTTAAGATAGCTGTATCGTTAGACATCACCATCCAGGTCATATTTCACACCAAAATCAAAGGAAAGAAATAAGAAATTAAATTTATGCATAAAAACATTGAAGCATATTTTACCACCAATAGAGTTTTTTCAATAAGACGTTACAATTAAGCACATTTCCCTCAATTTATCATTAATGTAGCACAAGAAACCCGTACATTCAATCATATTATTAAAAATATATAAATATACATAAAATAAGAAGTTATATTTTTGATCAAATATATTTAAAGCCTATTTTGCCATCAGTCGTTTTTTTATTGAGACATTACATTCAGATAATTAAGCACATTTTCCTCAATTTCCTATTTATGTAGGTAACAAAGACCCTACACTAATTCATATTATTTAAAATATACATTATTTACATTTTAATATATATATATATAATATAAAATAAGAAAGTATATTTTTGAATAAAGAAATTAAACCCTATTTTACCACCAATAAAGTTTTCTTATAGTGACATTTTCTTCAATTTCTCATTAATGTAGTGCAAAAAAACCTAAAGTAATTCATATTATTTAAAATAAATATTATATTATTTAAAACATTATTATTTGAAGTATTTATGCACCATGGTGGTATCTTGTATTTTATTATTTTTACTTTTTATGCTGATTTAAATGTATTACACTTTTCATTGAATTACAGTACTGAGACACATAACCATCAGTGAGAATAAATAAATCATGCATTTACCTAAAATTTATGAGAATTTGGAGTGAAAACGTGCAACAAAAATGCGTCCGTATTAATGGTCATAAAATAGGCTTAATGTTCTTCATGCAAAATATATATACTGTATATATATATATATATATATACACTTATAATTTCGGAATTAAATATTTTTGTACAATTCACCCTTTTACCGGTTTGTTATCTCACTATAAAGTGTTTGTGCAAAGCCACAATTTTACTCATTACTCATTTGGCATGTGAAGACTTTAACAGGTTATTTATATCTAGAAGTCTTGAAGGTACAGCAGTGAAATGGTGTTGAGTTAAGGGTCAGAGGGTGGAAGATGTCATGTAAACAGTTTTATTTTTCTGTCTTTGCTCTCACTTTTCTCATACTCAGGAGGTTAAGACACCTCAATGTGTGTGTGTACTCACACCAGCATAGTGCGCAGTTTGAGGAAGTCGTTGTGTTCAGGGTTTTCCACCTCCACCACCCCCCACGGGTACAGGCGTCCGCGGATCTTCTTCCCCTTCACCTCTATCAGCTGGTTGGAGCCGATCACTGCGAACGGGATGCTGGCCTGCACACAAACACACTCCTTCAACTTCAATCAAAGCCTTCGGGAGGCGGTCAGGCAGTGCTGATAATGAACTCAAACACTTTGACCTCTGACCTTTAGGACACGCGTCTGTTCCTTGAATTCTTCATCCTCGTCCGAATCAGCGTCGGGAAGCTGGTAGATCCGGATCCCATGCTCACTGATCTCATCCAAAATCTGACAAAAGATATTTGAAAAACATTTTTTTTTTTTTAAATGATAAACTTTAACGTTCAGAGTTGTGTCGTCCCAGTGTGACTGAATCAGTAGAATTATGAATGCAAAAAAAAAAATCTTAATTATACTTAAATAAAATTTTCCCTTTTTTGCTGAAAATTTAGCTTTGATCAAAGAAATAAATTATATTTTAAAATATATTCAAATGGAAATTAGTTATTTTAAATAGTAAAAATATTTCACAATCAAATAAAAGCAGGCTTGATGAGCAGAAGAGAATTCTTTAAAAAACATTAAAAATCTTACTATTCAAAAACTTTTGACTGGTAGTATGTGTATGTATATATATATATATATTAGTGCTGTCAAACGATTAATCGCGATTAATCGCATCCAAAATAAAAGTTTTTGCTTACATGATATATGTATGTGTACTGTGTATATTTATTATGTGTATACATTCACACACATGCAATATATATTTTGAAAATATTTAGATGTATATACATTTATATATGTGGCCACACTAAATATTGACACTTTGGGCCCAATTTGAACATTTTCACTTAGGGGTGCACTCACTTTTGTGGCAAGCGGTTTAGACATTAATGGCTGTGTGTCGATTTATTTTGAGGGGACAGCAAATTTACACTGTTATACAAGCTGTACACTCACTACTTTACATTGTAGCAAAGTGTCATTTCTTCAGTGTTGTCACATGAAAAGATATAATAAAATATTTACAAAAATGTGAGGGGTGTACTCACTTCTGTGAGATACTGTATATATATATATATATATATATGAAGAGTTCAGATGCAAAAGCCTCTTTAGTCCCATCTGACATTTTCTTCTGAAATGAGCATTTTTCTCAGGCTCCTATGTTTATGTTCAGTTATTTCACTTTAATGGCAATGAATAGAACTTATTCTTACACACATGCAAATAATACATAACACAAATAATACAATAATCCAGATTATTTTGTATTAACAACTTAAAATTATAATTAATTTATAAAATTATTCATTTAAAATTATGTTACACATGTAGATATACTGTATATATATGTATATACAAATGTGGATTTTTGCCATTTGATAGGCACAAAATTCATTAAAAAGTCTTCACTAAAGGTTCACTAGGTAATTCTACAAAGATTTATGATTTCTGTGCTGTTCCATGTTTGTAGCAACTGTTATGAAATTGCTCTGATTGCTAAAAACAAGGTAATTCTACAATGATTTATGATGCCTGTACCAATCCATTTTAGTTTAGAAATTGCACTTAATGTTCTTCCAAAACACTGGAAACTAGTTCATGTCTTGAACTTCCAAAGTTCTCTCAGCACGTTGTCATTTGGACCGTTCTCAGAGAGCTCGGAGGAAACTCTTTGATGCTAAAAACAGGAATCGTATGAATCACACAATGTAAACTAACCACTGGATCCACACGTAGCAGGTCTGGTGCCAGTCAGAGTCAAAAGAAGTCAGATAACAGATACGATCAGGCCAGAAACAGATCTTGGGCAGAGAGCTGAAAACCTTACCCCACTTCAAGATTTCCACCGAACACCAAACTCAACCTGTGCAAACTATCTGGGAGATATTCCTAGTTCAGTGTGTCAGAACAAACTGCTAAAGCGAATATGAGATTGAAAAATAGCCTCGCTTAAGCCAAAACCACATAAAAAAGCCGCATTTCCGAAGCACCTGTGGCGGATCAGACTTTAGGATTTATTTTTCTAACTTCAAAGCTGTTTTTCTAAGAAGCACATTCACAATGCCATTACGTAGTGACGCCACCAGCAGCCTCTTCCTGACATTCTCAGTGCTTTCATGTAATCTCAGCGGGGACGCGTTTCAATGGGAGAGCAGCTCCTGCTCCGCTGCGCTTTACAGAAACCCCCTCCTGTTATGACTAGTCCTGTTTTCATAGCGAGGAACCGCAGCGAGACCGGCTCGCACGGGACTGTGCGTGTTATTGCTTGTGTGGGTGTCTGTCACTGTTGTGTGTTCTGAGTCCAAATAAACACGTGCATGACCGTATAAATGTGCTTCGTCTGATCAAACTATATCGAACAAATGAAGAAGGGAATAAGCGTGCAAGATTTATAAGGGCCCATCTTTCCCATTCGTGCCAGATCTGGGGTGTGGGGTGTGGAGATACTGAAATTCTGTATGACTTGATCTCCAAATGGGCAAATAAACACATTGCTTCACAATGAACAAAGAAAAATGGCACAATGGAGACTTTTATGCACGGGAAAGGGAGTTAAGATATGGCTGTACATGAAAATTGAAACAAGAAAAGCAGATTAGGGAATGTGCAAAATGACATTTTCATAAGCGGCTGGTCAGTGGATTCGCAACACAGTTGCCACACAACAGCCAAATGGCATGTGAACATCAGTGCTGATTATGCTAACCAAAAATTTAAACTATTTAAAAAACACTTTTGTTAATTGAAATAAAGCTGCAATAAAATATAAAGTGAAAAACTTAAAATAAATAAAAACTAGAAATGTTGCCTTGGCAGTAGGGCTGCACGATTATGACAAAAAACATAATTGTCGATTATTTCCTTGAAATTGTAATTACGATTATCACAATTTACATTGAATGATGTTTATACCATTGTTTGAAGCAACTGCATGCCGTATTTTTATATGAAAATAAACAAGCTGACAACACTCTAACTGAAAAACTTTTAGTGCTTTTCTATAGTATTAAGCCTCAAATGTCAACTATACATCGGATTGGTTTCTTCTTTAAATTATAAAAAAAGTAAAAATATGCATGGTATTATAGTGTTATACTAAAACTAAAATTAAAACAATGGAAAAACCCTTAAGATAACATGTAGAAAGAAAAAAAAAACACATCTCAAGCACACAGAATAACATAAGTGGACTTTGAACGATTAATTGCTGCTTTGAACGATTACGTAATTGTGGCATCCGTAATTGTAATCGCGATTAGAAATTCGATTAATTGTGCAGCCCTACTTGGCAGCCAACTGAAAAAAGCTTAAGTACTAAAATGACTAACTAAAATAACACTAAAAATGAAATAAAAATAAAACTGTTTATAAATATTTTTTTTAAAAATTACAAAAGCACATAAAATTACTAAAAATTAAAATACAATTACTGAAAATATAAAGGTAAAAGGTCATTCAAAATACAAATAAAAATAGTATTTAAATGATACTAAAATAACACTGGCTGTAAAATTACCAGCATCAAAATGCAAAATGCAATAGCCAGTAGATTGTTGCAACACAGCTTTCAAAATTGTTGTTAATGGTAACTAACATTTATGTTTTGTTAACTGAAATAAAGCTGCGATACAATTAAAATATAAATATTAAATGAAAAATCTTAACTAAACAAAAATTAACAATGTTGTCACAGCAAACAAATGAAATATGTTTTCAAGCATTTTGGATATTAAGCAATTGACCACTGAAAAATAAATAAATAAATGATAATAATGATGATGATTATGACAAAGGCACATAAAATGACTAGAAAATAAAAAAATGATTATGCAACCAACATCAATATGCAAAATGCGTCTTGTGCTTTTTGATGCTAAATTTAACGGTCAAAAAATGTATATATCTATAAATTCATCCCTTTTTTCAAGATAAGGGACATGTCTTGAAAAAAGGGACAAATTCATAGATGCAACCTCTTTTTTTGTGTGGTTTTGACCGTTAATATTAACATGCAAAAGCACAACATCAAGAACCTTTCACACAGTTGCATGCTGATAATAGTTATTTCACAGTGTATGGAAACAAGGACTTTCCACAGTTTATTGCCAGCACTGAGAATCTTGATGTGACTTATCAGCGCAGGCCTCAACACAATCATTAGCTCTGCCTGTCTTTCTCTGAGGCTAAATGTGTTTGCATTGGCAGCGTGTTCACGTGGCTGGCAGAGGCACCTGGAGTCTGGCCTGGAACAATGGCACGGGAGTTTCTCTATGGCTCCGAAATGAAAAAGGAAGTGAGTTTCACCTATTATGCTTGTAATTTGTTTGTCATAGGATGCATTATGAGTCGTGATCATGTGTTTGTGGAGCAAGACTATTTGCGGGTATGAGTACGGGCGAAGCTCGTGTGGGCTGGACGTTGGAGTCTTTTCAGCCAAGTGCTCAATCAAGCTGAATTCACACTGTCAACCAAATCTGCCTGCATGCATGTAAAAAGAAAGATATATTTTCTAAATTTATTTTGGAAAAATTAATACTTTTATTTAGCGAGGATGCATTAAACTGATCAAAAGTAAAAGTAAAGACATTAATAATGTTACAAAAGGTTTCGATTTCAAATAAACATTGTTCTTTTGAACTCTCTATTCATCAAATAATTGTAAAATATGTACAATACAAAAATATGAAGCAGAACAACTGTTTTCGACATTGATAATAATCAGAAATGTTATTTGAGCACAGGGCTTGACATTAACTTTTTTGCTCAACAGCCACTGTGGCTAGTGGTTTTCCAAATTTACTAGCCACTCAGCATTTTCATTGGCCACAATTTTGGGAATTGTTGGGAAATGTTTTATATGACTTAATACTGCACACAAAAATGCAAAATTATAATAGCATAAATAATGTTGTGATCTTGGTGTTTTAAAATAGTTTTTTTTTTAAATATAGCCTACAAATATGAAATGTTGGAAAAAATGCAAAGATACTATGAAAATAAACCGCCAGTAGGTGGCAGCAAGTGATAGTCTTAATTAACGAAGCATGCCTTCAAAAGATTCGTTCAGACGGCTGCTTCATTCAAGAATGAAGCAAGTGCCTGTCTTTATGAATGGACCACTGAATCATTGACTCAAATGATTCAAAATTCAAAAGCGCAAATCATTCAATAACGAAACACCACTGTGTGTTGCTCATAGATGCGCGACTGTTCTGCTGTGTTCTTTGTTTGGAACTATTTTCATGAACCAAATAGAGCAAAAACGGTCAACGTTGACA